ATGCACTGAGTTGCTGCCATGTGATTGGCTGATTAGAAATTAAGTGTTAACGAGCAGTTGGACAGGTGTACCTAAAAAAGTGGCCGGTGAGTGTAGAGCTGCAAGGAAAAGACAAAACTGTGACCAATATGATCCGTTAATGCTTTTAAAAGATAACTGCAACATCTGTCCTCCATGATTTGACAAACTTGCAGAACGTTGTGTCAGAGCTACACATGCAAGGGAAGATGTGTGCAGATCTGTGCACACTACACAGCAGATTAACAACTGTCTGTCAGAGTTTGACAAACACTTTCAGGACTTTCTTTACTGGAGCCACCATGACGATGACCATCTGGAAGTGTGAGGATGTCTGTCAGCAGCTGCTGTCTGCACTTTTCATCCCTGGCTGATTCCATTCAATGCAAGTTATCAGAATAAGGTAGGGCAGCACAACAAGACACAAAATGTACAGAGTTATGCAATATGTTTGTATGCAGGTAGGCAAGTGATACATTTAGATTTTTGATAAAGATGTAGCTTACTATGATGTGAAAAAAATAGTCAGTTTCTTATTTGTTTTTATTATAGTTTTATTGTTTTTAATAAACATGTCTGCACGTTTAACTGGGAGTACAAATGTGAAGTGTTTGATACCTTGGATAGAAAAGTAGATCTCAGCAAAGCACCAGCCTCAAAAGTAGATCTTGGTTTAAAAAGTTTTGGCACCCCTGGTTTGTGGTGAACTGGACCGCAGAGTGAAGGTAAAAGGGCCAACAAGTGCAAACAACATGTGTGGGAACTCCTTCAAGACTGTTGGAAAACCATTTCAGGTGACTGGAAGCTCATCAAGAGAGTGACGAGAGTGTGTGAAGCAGTAATCAAAGCAAAATGTGTCTACTTTGAAGAATCTAGAATATAAGACATATTTTCAGTTGTTTCACACTTTTGTTCAGTATATATTTCCACGTGTTAATTCATAGTTTTGATGCCTTCAGTGTGAATCTGCAATTTTCAGTCATGAAAATAAGGAAAACTCTTTGAATGAGAAGGTGGTCCAAACCTTTAGTCTCTACAATGTATATATATA